TAATACACACATATATATATTAGAAACCCAAAAATCAAATAAAATACAATAAAATAATAATATTATTACTAAAAAAATTATCATTCTATAATATAATTAAATATAACTAATATCATCTTAACTTATTAAAAAAATTCTTATTCGTGAAGAGTAAAAAAATTTGCAACTAAAAATCTAAAATGTTACATATATGATATGACCCAAATAAGCCACAAAATGCACATTGAACACACTTCTCTCATTTTGCATAAAAATGATTATCTACTAAAAGCTACAAAATATAACACAAATGAAATAAATAGGTTGTGAATGATTCAATATAGACTCAAATTTCATAGAAAAACGAGAACATTTTTGCAAAAATTGTTGAAGTAAATCATTCATAATGGATTGAACAGTAAATGGAGCATTTGATAAGCCAAACGACATAACTAAAAACTTGTAATGGCCATCAAATTTATGAAAAAGGTTGTCTTATGTGTATCTCAAGGTACTACTTGTATTTGGTGATATCTTGATTGTAAATCTATCTTGGAAAATACATAAGCAGCCCCATGCTTATCCAAAAACTCGTTTATTGTAGGTATAGGAAATTTGTCCTTCATTGTAATAGTGTTAAGTGCTCAATAATCAACATAGAAACACCACGAGCCATTTTTTTTTTACCAATAAGACTAGAGAAGAAAACAAACTTGTGTTGGGCTTAGTGATGCCTTCCTTTAACATGGATGAGATCAATGAGGTCATGATTTCTATTTGAAAGTGAGGGTAACGTTAAGGTCGTGCATCAATTAGGGAAAAAGATGGAAATAAGGGTATATAGTGATCATCATGTGGTTGCGGAGAGGGAAGGCCATGTGGTTGGTGAAATATAGGGTTAAATGTCTAAAGGAAGTCATTTAAAGTTTAGGTAAAAATGAAACGTATGGTAAGATTGGGAGGTGTTAAAATAGGGAAAGTTATGGGATAAGGAGTCAGATCCATGGATAAAAGATGGAAAGAAGTAACAAAACCTTGATGCATAAGTTGACAAATCTGGTGGAAAGTAGTAGGTTGGGGTGTCATGAATGATTCACCCTTAAGGGTAACAAGTTGGGCATCATGGGAAAATGTGAATGTAGGAACTAAAACATTTGCTTGAATGGTGTCCAAAGTTCTCAACCATGTAGTATTAAGTACAACATCAATGCCCTCAATAGGTAATAAACATAGTGGAACCACAAATGTGTGATGTTGGAAAGAAATTAGGATAGCTAGACAATATTGCTTACATAATATGTGTGCACCATTACCAATGATAACCTTGAAAGGGTTTGTTGGTGTAGCTTGTAGTTGTAAATGATGTGCTATGCGAGGTTGAATCATGTTGTGAGAATTTCCAGTATCTATAAGGATTGTCACTGGTGTGCCATTTATTTGACCTACAAACTTGAGTATTTAAAGAAGGAAGATCGTTCAAAGCCTAGGGGATAAATGAAAATGAACTACAGTGGACTTATGGGTAATGTCAATAGGTTCAATTGTAATCTTTGTAGAAAAATGGGCTCTTCATCATGAAGAAGTAGTAGATAATGGGGAGTGGAGCATTTATGATCAAGAAAATACTTAGCATCATAATTGTAGTAGAGGCCAGCCACTATGCATTTTATAAGTTGTTGGGAAGTTAGTGTTTTAATGGGTAAGGTTGAAGTGGTGGACACAAGTTTGGTTGGAGTATGTTGAACAACAGTGAGTTGGGAGGGATGGGTTGTGGTTATGGATGAAATAAAGGAAGGGTTGGTTGCAACATACAACAATGAATGCTTGGCTTGAACTTTAGGATCTTTCAATTTTGCCTCCACTAATTTAGCTAATCTAATAGCCTGGAAAATCGAATAGGGTTGTAAAATAGCCAACTCATTTTTTAATTTCAGGATTCAAACCATGAGTGAAATAATCCATAAATGCAAATGCCAAACCTAATTACTTAACTTTTCAAAAGTAGCTTAACATTCATAAATTGTACCCTACTGCTTCAACTTGAATAATTTAGCCTGATGATTCTCATAATTAGATGGTCCAAAATGAAGTTGTAGTGATCTATTGAAAGTAGTCTAATCTCCCAATTGGTTGTTGGTAAACATTTATTTAAATCAACTAAGGGTTTCACCCTTCATATAAAAAGCTGCAATAGGAACTCATGGTTCCCATGGAACTTGGTAGAACATGAAATATTGATCAACTTGGAATAACTAGTTGAGGGGATCTAAACCCTTGAACTAATTAACTATAATTTGGGTAGGCAAAAAGTGGTTGGAGCAAAAATAGAGGTTGGATGCTGGAAATTTGGATTAAAAGGTGGGAATTCTAAAGGATCAAAATGTGGTAAAGTAGTTTGGGTGATAATCGAGGAAGTAAAAATAGGTAGTGGTGGGAAAAACAATTAAGTATATTGCAAAAATGACAATTGAGGGAAAGATAAAGGATATGGTGTATTGAAGATGTTAACGATGGTTTTGTATAAAATGGTGGTGAGAATGGGAAATTTGAAGAAGATGGTTGTTGGTTAAGGAAAATAAAATTACCCACATTTGCAATTTGACTCATGAGCATACCCATGATAGACGTGAATGACTCATGGTAAGTATCATGAAGGAGGTTTTGATGTTTGGTATGAGATTGTAAAGCGTTGATTTAGACAATAAGGATGGAAATGGAGATAGGGCAATGAAAACACCAATGATAGAATAATGAAGGAGATCTAGGGCAACTCTAGTATCATCTAGAAAGAAAAACTAATCAAGATATTTTATTTCATATCCAATTTCCATCTCATACAAGTATTTAAAGGAAAACAACAATGATTTCCCCTCTCACGAAAATCCCTTATTCATTAAAAACAACAAAAATGCTCAAATAAAAGATTAGGTTGGCCCAACTAACAATAAACATAATCCATTATCCATGAAAGAGTACTCTTGTTATGCTTGGGCCTTGAGTTAGTGTTTTCAACGGGTCTATTATGGTTTGAAATTCTATCACACTACTATCCATGGCTCCACACCACCACATTCATAATCACCATTTTAATACCATTCATCCACTTCTTTTTTCTATTTTGAGTCATAAAACATAATATACACTCAAAGCTTCGCCTACAGTATTTCTTCCCATAACAATATTGGAGAAAAATAGGACACTAATTTTATTCCAAACTTATACATAATAGTTCTGTCAATTTTTCCTTAAGATTAAACAACATATGACACTTCTTGAATCCTATGATTTTCATCACCATTTATTTTCATGTAACTTTGTATGATGGATCGAAGATACTTAAATTCTTTGAATTAAGTTAAAGTATGACTTCCTAACACATGTGAGTTATGCTTAGAAAAAACAAAGATAAAAAACACTTTATTTGCATTCTCAATATGAATGTGCTTAACGCGAAAACATATGCACTAAACATAACATTTTGATAATTTTCATTTATACTTATCATTAAAAGGAATTAAAAATAATAAAAGATAGACCCTTTAGTATTTGCCTTAATCAAATCATACAAATAGTATATCATAGTCTCATAGAGCACTCTTGTAGTAGCTTACTTTTCAATTTTCATTGTTCTTTATGAATTTTGGCTTTATATGTTTAAGAGTAACTATTTTTTTTTCTATCATTAGGGTCATATGTAACTAAATCAATACTTACTTACATGAAAGATAAAATATGCAAGTAAATTTTAAAATATTACTCTAAAAATGTATTCATTGTGTTTAACAATAAGTATCTTTCTAGTTTTCTTTTTACATAAACTCGAGAAAAATTAATAATTAGATAAAAGAAAATAATAATCATATAAAATTAATCTTATTATGTTAAAAATAGTACAACACAATAACTCCTTAAAAATATTATTAAGACTATAGATAAAAATAATTAATATTTTATTGAAAAATAAAAATGACATTTTTTTTTGTTTATTATAAGATATTACTTCAATTTCTATATATAAAATCAAATTACCTAATTTATCAAGATTAAGAAAATTTGTTAATTTAGTTGATAACAATAAATTTATCTTATTTATACATTTTTTTTTCTAAAATTATTCTTATACTACTTTTTTCTTCTTCTTTCTAATTACTCATATATTTTTTAATTAATTAGAATACATGTGTTATATCTCTTAATTAATACTCATCTTTTTTCTAACCAATTAAAAAATATATTTTTTAAAGAGTTTATAATTAATATATTTTTTTAAATAAAAAAATTATAAATATTTTAATATAAAAATAATTAATATATTAGATAACATGAATGTTATAAATGGTAACAAATGTTAAATTTATTTTGGGATGAATGGATTATTGAATTAATTAATAATTAATGTGTAATTATGTTCCTATATTCTATTTAATTTGTTTGTGAAAATTTCAATTTTCCTGTGCATAGGGAAACATAGGAGCTTGGCATACCTTTCGGCGGGCACAATAAAGCATAAGAATACTTTTCTTTTGTTTTTTGGTCATCTACTTTAATTATAATTTATAGTTCCACCACCCCAGATTTTTGTTAGAAACTCAACCGCCACGTGTATCGTCATATCACCTGACATGCACAATGATGGAGCCAGAAACCGACACCAGTGGGTAAACCCAAACTTCTTAGTTACATTGAATCACTTTGATTGAGATCAAATGAGTGAGAAATAGAAAAGATAGAGTAAAAATAAAATAGTGATAATAAGTTGAAAATTTTAGTCAATAAAAAATAAAAAAGTAATAAATTAAAAGATGGTGAATTTTATTATATTATATTTTTTATACATATATATATTTTTAATCAAATAATTAATTTTTTATTCACTCATCTTTTTAATTTATTTATATCTATTATATTTCTGATTTTATTCCTTTCTTTTCTCTCGCAAACACAAGCTAAGTGTGATACATGATGAGTCACCGGTACGTAATTTAATTTTATATAATAGAAAGAGGATAAAAATGTGATATAAGATGAGTCACATGATAACAAAAGAAAATTTTAAACATAATTTTCATGGATATTGACCAACCATTCTTACTCTTACATTAATTAAATTAATAGAGATATATATGATATGACACTATTATTGTGTTGATGTGAATTTCATTTTCAGATCCGCTGCTGGGTAGCTGATTTAATGGTTTCTCATTCTCCAACCATTCTACTTTCATTGCTTCCGAAATACATCATCAAAATCAACACTATAAGTTAACCGAAAACCTAAAACTAGTGTACTTGGGTTCGGAGGAAAAGCAGCAGGACTGTCATGCCCTTTTCGTGTTCCCTCTCGATTTTCTTTCTCATGCACTCACGGGTAATTTTCGTGCTCTCCCTCTCTTCACAAAATGTTGATTTCATGCCTAAGAGTCTCTGCAATTTTTTTTTAATATATATATATATATATATATTTTTTTTTGGGTCAGTGCTTTATTAATTCTTGTATTTATTTTTCAGTGGTGGTAGATTTGAGTCGGTGAGGTTGTTACTTGCGTGTTGTAGTGGTGGTGGACAGATTTTACGGTTACATGTTCAGTTTGAGAGGGAGATTATCTAGGAAGGCAAAGATTTTGGTTTTCTGCTTGTTTCTGACATCTCGTACTTTGTTGTAGCACTTGGATCTAGTGGGTTGAACCTGTAACTCGTCTTTGATTTGGTTATTGTGGGTGTTATGGAGACTCTATTTGTTGTTGAGCAGCATAAGAACCAATACTACAGCAGGTCCAAGTCACAGGGTCATGCTCGATTTGGGTCTTCACCTAATAGGGGCTTTAGGGATATCAATTGCAGGACTTTTGAGTCTGGGAGGACAGGTATATTGCCAACTCCTTTGAAATCTCACAGATCCCCTAAAACACCACCTAATTCTGATAACAAAACGGTGGGGAAACTAAAAGTTACTCCTAAGAGCACCCCAATTCCTATCAGTGGCAAAGCTCGTAGGAAAGAGAGTGAAGATGTCCCTGCTGGAGGAGGCCTTTTGTTTTCTGAGTTATGGGCTGGACCTACCTACTCAAATTCACCACCTCCCAGTTCGTTGCCAATTCCCAAGTTTTCTGTCAGACCAAAGAGGACTGTGTCTCTTAATCTTCCTGGTTCCCCCCCTGAGATTGAAATGCGCCCGGTGGCTAAGTCTGCGCCCTCTTCCCCTAGCAGGGAGCATTCTGATTCGCCTTTTACAAGGGATCTGTTTGTTAATGCTTATTCTGCTACTAAGACCCTGTGTCGCATTCTTAATCTTAACATCAATGATGACTGAAATGTGTGGAGCCGTGGGCTCCTGTAAGAAAAGTCTATTTAATGAAGTGGGTTAGTGGTAGATGTGTATAGATACCAAATAAAGTTTGTTAGTTTGTAGTCTAAGTTGGATTATGTAGCTTTTGTTGTGGTGGTGCCCTTGACAATCTTGGCTGTGATGGTGGGTCAACAATCTCCAGCTTTTGGAATTTGGGTCAAGCTTAGCTGTGGAGAGGGTAACTGGGTGTATACTAGAGGAATCTTTTGAAAGCAGGCTTTACTATGGATCATGCAATTGATGGAAGCGTCCATGAAAATGGTTGGTATGTAGAATGGTGGTAATGGGTAGAAGTGGCATGGAATAGACTTGGTTAATCTATTGGACCTGATGAAAGTTATATTCAAGTTGAATCCTGAATTTATGATACATATAGTTCTCATCATCATCTCACAAAATGGTTAACTTTCCCTTATTCTGACATAGGATTTAGCCTTTTGCTTTAGATATTATGTATATACTGTAAAATCCTCCCTCTTTCTCTCTTTCTCTCCGTTTCTTCTTTCTACAGTCTTTAATCATTCTAACTTCTATTCCGAATTGTTTTACTTTCCTTCCTTGTCGGACATGATTTTACAGTGTGTCACTGTCATATCAGTCTTCTTCTAGATGGTAATGCTGTTTACTAATCACTACCTTTCTCACCAATCTTTCCCCTAGTCATCTTTGTTTCTCTTTGTTAACTTTGTATTTAGTTATCCTCAGTGAGGTTGTAGTTTACCCCTTCACTATCTTTTCTGTTTTTTTTATAAAGAAAAGTAGGAAGGGATTTGTAGTAGTCTTTTGTAGTATCTGCTTCAGTTTTTAGGATTAATCCATGTCACTCCACCTACTAGTAAACCCCTGATATGTTTCATTCCGAGTAATGCTTATTTCCTTAGTCCTAAACCTAGTTCTCTTCTAGCTTGTCTTCCATTTCCATGGAGTGTGTTGACCATGCTATGCCAAATTTTAAGGTATGATCTTGCTTGATGACTATTTAAATGCTTTTTCCATATTCTTTTCATTCCAGTACATTGCAATTGCTAAAAGTTGTTCAATGTGTTAATCAGGGTGGCAAAACTTTATGAAGGCTGTTTCAGTTGTGACTCGTGAAATGTGGTCAGTTGCCAGTCAGTTTTTCTCCATAATGTCCCTTGTGGATCGTAAATTTGTTTGTGTTTCTTTCCTTGTGCCTCAGTAACTTGTGTGGTCTGCTGAAATAAGATGTAGTGACTATTATGTATTCTTCATTTTGTATCTGAATTTAAATACTTATTATCCTTATTAATCTATGTAGCATTTCTTTGAAAGATATAGCATGATTATTTGCATTTTATGAACATTTGTATCTGATGCCGCTGTTTGATGTTTAGATGAATTGAGTTGTGATGGTCCTAATATTGATAGAACTTGGACTGTGTAATATTCAATAATGATTATCACGCATCAAAGATTTGCTATCATGTCTTTATGTCTAAACAGTTCCAATTCAGACTGGTCTCTTGCAATGGCAACTGCATGTTTGGTTCCTTCATATAAACCAATTCACCTGCAGGAACGTGGATGATATAAATTCCTCAAAAATCAAAATATTTTAGTAGTCTTATCCGGCTACGCCACTTTGTCCAATTCAGTCCTTATGATCTCAACGATTCCTCTTTGCAATTTTCTTCACATTGGCTAAAGTTTGTCTGTTGGCTCAACGTTGTTTCTTGCCTCAATTCTTTCAGCTCTAGGTGGATATGGTTGCAACTTAATAGTGATATTATCAATGTATGAGCCAGTTTAGATAAATTTCTCAACAAGTATTTACAAGAAAAAAAAAAATCTAAGTTCTATTCTTAGTTTATGCTCCAAGACTTTTGTAAAATCCTTCTCAATTAACTTCTTTCGTGTTAAGTGTATAACTTAATTTTAACTTTCGAGAAAAGTTTAATTCATTTCACTTCATTTATTTTAGTTAGTATTTCTTGAGAAATTAATCTAAGTTGAACTGATTTCAGGCTTCACTCTATTTGTCTAGTGTCTACTATATCCAATGGAATTCCATTTAATATCTTGTTTGGAAATGGTAATGATTCAGATTTTCCACTCTTTCTATATTCTTGTGTCATATCACATGTGTTGCTGTTTCTTTGTCACGAGTAGGTTTTCAATCTGTATTATTCACGCTCACAGTAGTCATTTTCACTTTTCTGGTTATCAATTGGATTCCATTTTTTTTTGTTTTCTTGACTGATTTAAACTGATTACACTTATATTCAGTCTCACGTTCATATCATGTTTCTGAAACAATTCATACTGTACACTCTTGATACTGTTTGAAGAGAAGTGTGTAATTTGAATGAAGCTTTTTAGCTGAGAAGATAATTTCAATGAATGATGATTCTGTCACTTAAAACTATTTTATTGTATTGAACTATTCACGGGAAACATTTAAACTATTTGGTGAAATGTGAAACATGTCCCAATGGCTAATAATTCTAGCAGATGTCACTTGTCAAAGGAGTTTTGTTTGTTCTGTGTCACAATTAATTGAGCATCTCAGCATTTTAGCGTGGTCACCTTGCAGTACAATGCCTTTGTGATCTTGTTTTCACCATTGTCGTTACACTCCAATTTCCCAAACGTCAATTTCTTCAATAAATGATTCTTCGTGTACAAGACTAGTTAAGGTTGCTGGTGGTTTTCATGCGCACTAAGTCGTAATTGTCATTTACTTTCATTTTGAAATACGTGTCGTGGATCATGGTTAGGTTACAGTTCCACTAATCATTTGGAGAAGTTGCGTTTCATCACATAATTAAAGGAATGGTTAAGCGTTTAAGAAGAGCCTCCCAAAGTACTTGTGTTGCATAAAGAAGGAAACAAAAGTACCACCAGTTCCCCCTTTGTGAATAAAAATAAAATATCGATTTGCTTTCAAGTGGGGATTTCTTATCTAATCCGATTTGACAACAATGCTATAGTACTAATTTAACCAAATTTATCATGTTGTTTAATATTTACGCCGTTAACACATGCGTCTTTCTAATTCTTTTCTTTCTACGATGCTTTAATGATAGCCCCGTTTATTTTAGACCTTTCTGTAGCCTATATTGATTTTTAAATTAATTGTGATTATGGTGTTGGGGAGGTGGGACATGGATTTTGGCAATTTAATACTCACAGTTATAACAACGTCTTACATTACTCGTAATATATATATATATATATTTTTCACTTAAAATAACTGTAATTTTAATATTTAAACAAAATTATAAAATAACTAATGTTTGCATATTTTAACATAATTCTTTTTTTTCAAATTTGTTCTATATAACCTCTTTAATCATCACAATTAAAAATAATATATTTATTGAGAGATAATTATTTTAATAAAGTAAAATATTTATTGTTAATCTTAATTTATAAATAAAAATCTTAAAATATATTCATTTTGAGATGTAAGAAATGCTTTTTTTATTAACAGTTAAAATTATTAAAAGTTATAAAATTACTAGAGCAGTAAATAAATAAATACTAAACCTACCAAATTTTATAAATTTTAATAATTATAACTAATAAAAGAGTGTATAGTTAGCACTTCCCTAATACTTATTCCTCCCATTTCATGTTATTTCTTAAAATATTAAAATACTAATTAAAATTTATAAAAAAAAGTACTAATTAAAATTTTATGAAAGTGAACACAACAAATACTAATCAAACAATACTGGTATTAAATATTTAATATTAGTAATGCATTCTTATAATAATTTGCAATAAAAAATATAATTTGTGATAACATATATATCTTTAATTAGTACGGATTAGTAACATCTTTTATCTAATACATACTTCATAATACATTATTAATCACATAAATTTTTGTGATAGAACAGTTTTTCATAATAAAAATATTTTTTATAAAAAAGAATTAAAATATAATTATGAATTGCTAAAAGTTTAAGTAAAATATTAATACATGATAGTATTATTAAAAATGAATATTTTCTTAATTTTCCAAAATTAAACTACACAAAAGAACTTATCAAATGGGACGAAGACCCAGAATTGCTTTTGTCCAAAGTTTGATATTTTGGAACTCTCCCTAATATACGTATCAAAGTTGCTCATCGAAAGCCTAATATTGAATGATTTGAATAACGAGGTAATAATAGGTGAGGAAAAGGACTTTTAACAAATGTACATTTTTCTGACAATGTCATTTTTTTTAACTATTTAATGGTTTGCTGGATTTTTGTCAATCGAGGTGCGTGAACAGCATAATAATAATAATAGAATTCGTGCAAGAGAGGAATCTTCTTGAGAAAAATAATGATTTGGTCCCCATTTACAATAATATGCATCATCATCATCATCTCAGATAAGAAAGAAAAATATAACTATTTTCAGTCATATATCATCATCATCATCATCTGCTTCAGCCGAAAACAAAGGGAGAAAACCGGAAGCAATCTAAAACTACTCATTTCTTGAAACGAACTCTACATCCTCATCCTTTCTTATCTCTATTTTCAAGGGAGAGTTGGAAAAAAAAAAATAAACAAACAAAAACTTGAAAAGGAATATGCTGGTCACATCCAAATATTTATTAATTATCTAGAATAATCCTAAACAAGAATAGAAAATTGTGAGCAGCATAGCTGGTTTATCCTCATCAGAATGCAACAAGACTTTGTGGCCGCGTTGGAAGTAAAAAATGACCGTATTAGTATCTGTCAAATTCTGAAGTTCCTGTTCCTGTTCCTGCTTCATCTAGCACCATCTCTTGGTGGCGACATTCTTGGCTACAGAAAGCTTTTTCTCCTCTACAAACACAAATGAATCATATAATTTGAGACCGGTTGAATACAAATTTAGAAGAAGCGAACATGTTATAACTTGGAAGCATTGAAAATGGACCTTACCTGTAAATAAAGATGTCCTTTGTCTGCTCAAGATGCTTCTTGCATGTGTGGCAGAAGCTAAGGAAATTCAGTGAAGGAGTGTTGGGGTTATTGGGCAGAGAACAGTAGCTTTCCACAATACAATTATCAAATATATGAGTTGTTTTAGGATTAGGTCCATGTGATATCACACAGGTGTACTCCTCAGAAAGTTCCATCTCACTCAAACTCATAACACCTCTTCCAACTGATAATGGAGAATCCTTTGTTTTGGCATCAAAATCTGCAGCAGCACATGGTGGTGGCAGTGGCAGGGGAGGGATCTTCACTCCAAGCTTAGTTCCAAACAGAACAGTTCCATTACTTGGTTTAGCTGAATTTTGAGCAACAGGTTCATCTTTAAGTACTAGTGCACCAACAAGTGCAAGGCCAATGCCTTTTGAGTCCCACACAGTTTTGTTTTCCGAGTGTGTTCTTGGGGAGATATTATTAATCGGTTCAGTCTTGTTTGCATGTGGCAAAGGGTTCCCCAAGGGGGACAAGGCTCTGGTGTCGAGAATTGATGTGGGACTTGGCAGAGCCTCCGCTCCGGAGAGACACTTCATAGTCAAGTCTCGAAATTTGGGTGAAAAAAATAGACAAGGGATGTTTCGTTTGTAACTCTGATTTGGACATGGCTGGGAGCTGTGATCACCCATCAAACCTGCCTTGGTCACAGCTCTTGATCTGTTTCTCACCAGCATAAGTCCTGAATCAACAAACAAGTAATTAAATTAAATCAGCTAGAATGATGTAAAATCACTCTTATTGGTGTTGGTGTTGGTGTTGCATGTAAAAGAAAAGCACTCTCATTGGTGAAGACTATAATGCCCAAAATAAAACAAACAAAAAAATTATATACCTTTCACTTCAGTTTTTTGGGAGGAGAATCCTAGTGTTGTGGTTTAGGAATGTTAGTGAAGAATTTGAGACATAAAGTCAAAAAAAGAAATGTTGATCTGAAACTGTCAGGTTAACTGAATTGCCTATGCTCCCTCTTCTTGTTAATTTTCTTCAAGAGGCAAAATAAAAAGCATATATTCCCATCAACACAGATGTTAGAGCAACATTGTTCTGCTTTATGAAATTTATTTGCGAGTTTTATTTCTGGAACTTTATGGAGAACAAACAGAAAGAGAAGAAAAAAGAGAGAAACTTTGGAGTTGGGAGAGAGAAAGAGAGATGCCCGAATATGGCTTTTAAAGGAAGAAAAAGCAAAAGATGTTGTGTGCATGAAAATCAAACGTTATTACTTCAAACTTTTGCTTTCATATTCAATTTTATTTTATTTTTACTATTTCTCTCTATGAATTCCAATAGTGCCATTAAACGAATGGACTGACCTTAATTTTTTATTATTTATTTTGTCTTTTCTAATCCTTTATTCACTGATTACTGATCAAGGTGTTTTGTCCTCAATCTGGTGGGTTTCGATCAAGGAAACTGAAGGAAAAGAATCTGCTATAAATATGTTATAAATAAGAAAAGGAAGAATAATTTTTACATATTTTTAAAATATCAATAATTCTTAATAATTGATTATAAAATAAATCATTTTTATCTAACAATTCTGACAGTTATAAGCTATAATAATACTATACAACTTTTAGTTTGAGAGTTTTATTATTTTGAAGTTACATTAAACCTTCATTAATTTTATATTCATGGGACGTGAACATGAGATTTAATTTAAGAAAAAGTAAACTCATATTTACTTATAGTGCAGGCATCATTTTACCCTTAAAAAAGGGATACATTAGTCAGAACTTTACAATTTGATTATTTGTCGTTAATTGATTAAACAGCATTGCTAACTTTATTTATTGTTTCCACAAATATCCGTGCTTTATGAGATTTGAATGTAAGAATAAAGATAAATTTTAATCCTTACTTCCGTTTTTTTTAAGGTGATATAAGATATTATATGTTTAGGATATTTTTTCAACTACAAGTTAAATATACTATATTTTTTACTTTAAAATTTTAAGTAAAAAAACATGAAATACTCATGTAATATACAAATTGAAATACTTGTTCTAATTAATTTTTAACTGAGTAGTAGAGCTTTGATTCTTTTCATTAACTAGCACATTTATATAAATTATGCGCGTAAAATATAACACAAAAAAATGTTTTGTTGAAACCCATAAATTTATATTGTGAACTTGTGATCGAAGGGAGCAGGTTCCATGATGATTAGAGTTTTTTTTTTTAATTATTTAATTTACAATTTACTCTTATAAATATAAGCTTGACATTTACTTGTAAGGTAATGTCTCAATTGTAAAAAATTTAACAATATATCTTTTTATTTTTCATTAAATTCAACAATAGTTTATTACAATAAAATTTTTGATCCCACATTAAAGCATTTTACTGGAAAAAAGATTAAATTTTAGAAGGATTAGTCGCTTCAAAAAGACGTAAAAAAGAAGAAAAAGTCATAAATATATTTTTAATCTATCTAGTATATAAAGGAAATATCTTATTTTGGTATCCTTTTTTTCAAAGATAATTATACTTCTATATTATTATTTTATTTTATTTTCATCAATATATATCTAAAAATATAATAAAAATGTATATACAAAATAATAACTACTTTTTAAAAAAATAATAACTTCCTACTTCTTTTTATAAAAAAAATATATTTTTTTTTTCACAAAAGCACGAAATGCTTTTCTCATTACTATGTAATATACAAATTTTCATTATCATACTTCTTTTCTCATTTTTATTTCCTACTACATTATATATTACATCTATTACTCTATCTCTCTTTTCCCTTTCTTTTTTCTAGCTCAAAATTGGAGTTTACATTGAACATTTTCTTTGATATAACTTTGTGGTTTTAGTTGGATCATTGACATATTTTGATGAATTGGTGCATAATTATCTATCTTCGTACACTACTACGATGGCTTACGTGTACTCTTGTATAAATCACTTATGGTGGCTATGGCTTGGATATGCAGTCACCTTTTATGCAAGTTTGTAACTTCTAAGTTGAGATAATCTATCAATTATTAAACTATAGTCTTGGTCGAATAAATTATTACCACATGTTTAATTCATAACGTAACTTGTGCAACATCCCATGTGAAATATTCCAGACTACAAATTGGAATTCTATATAGAAAATGTACGTCAAATACTCAATGAATATTTGAGTGTAAGCATTATATTTTAAATGGTTTTGCATGTACATAAAAATTAACACCCATAACTCTGGCTTTACCAAGTTATAATATTGCATATTAAACCATTTGTGCTATTTAATTTCATTTTTATGATTTTTTTAACTATATAATCACGGTACCACGGGTGTTGGCAACATATATACTGATATTTTTTCTAATACATTCTTTATACGTTTTTAAAAAGCTTATTAGAAAAAGTATAAAATTATAAAAGAACAATAATTAAATAATATACGTTGTTATTCAAGTTTTTGTAATTTCTAATAGGTTTTAATTAATTAGAGAGCGTCTATTAATAAAAAAGTGAACTGGAAGGTGCCTTAAAAAATGTATTAAATTAAAAAAGAAATTTGTGTTAAGACCTCATATAAACTATTCAAATTTAACACCTTAGCCATTGTGGAATACAATGAGAGATACTAAGTGCTATATTGCATTAATTCATGAGAAGGGTGATTGATTCAATGAAGCCAATAATTTAAGCTAAATTAATTAAATTAGCTCAATTTAATTTGATTAAGTATTTTTTTCTCTCTTTCAAATCCAAATCAAGTTAATTATAATCAAATTAATTATTATTTTTTTTCTAATCACACCAAATCAAAACCCCGATTAATTATATTTTCACTTTAAATTAATACTATTATATTTTAGACTTTGATGCTTTTTTTTAATCTTTTTTTTTTTTCCAATTCATTTTGATATTCTTGTGATATTATGTAGCGTTACCAAGTGTCTTAATTTGATCATATTGTAAGTAAAGAAATGAATGAAATGGTAACTATAGCAAAAAATAAATATTAAATAAATAAATATTTAATGATTAAAGAAAAAAAAATATCATTAAGGAGCAATAAATATTTTTACCTTAACATTAAATAAAAATTTATATAAAATAGCTAATAATTAAAGATACAAACTTAAAAAATGTATACTTTTTAATCAAAATTCAATGGTCCAAGTTAATCAATCTGATCTTATTGAATTACTTTGGTTCAAATTTTTTATAAAGAAAATTATAACTCAAACCAAATCAACTCAATTAAAGGTGTTTTTAATTTTTCATCTAATGACGTTTAATGTGGAAGTGAATTTTAATCAAAAGTGTTTTGAAATGTGAAAAAAGTACAATTAAACAACCTAAGTTTGATTAGTTTAGATTTGATTTTAACCTAAATTAATGTGTCATTGATCTATTTAATGCCACAAAATTAAATTATGGAAAATGTTGAATATAAATTTCATTTTTAAGGTAAAATGTCAAGAGAAGAAATTATATTTTTCATAATTTCATCTATAACTATAATACACATGAGAACTCTTTTTTTGAGTGCATATTTTATAACCAATTTTATCTTGTATCCACTCTTTAAATCACTCCGCAAACTGCTCAGTATTATATAATTTTCATCATCTCTCTGTTTGTTTTTAATGAAGAAGCACAAAATGTATTTTTTTTTTTTTTAGTTTTCATAATAATGTTGCACATAATATATCTATGAATATACCATATATAACGTAATAAATTATAAACAATGTATCTTTATGGATAATAAAATTGAGCTTTATTAATATTTTAGGACCACTGTAATATTGACATATAAACTACTAAATATTATTTTTTGTGACATGTTCATATAGAAAATTATTAGCTTTTTTATATAAAAAAAATAGAAAGAAGGGAGCATGAATCTTAATTATTTCTTGATCTTGAGTGTAGTATTGAAATAGAAAATATGAGAGAGGGTTAAGGGAAGTAATCCGTGTAAAATGTGTCATCAAATAGTGTTTTACACTTTGCTTTGGGATAATGATTTGTGTCCTAGGGAAGGTTTATTAGTACAAAACATAACGTAGTGGGTTAAAGTGTGCTGGGGTGGCCTAGTGGGTGGTCCATCAAAACATGTGGGACATAAATGGAAATAAAAGAAAAAGATTTGGGGATTGAGGAAATGGTGGGGCCCAATTTGAAGGCTACGGCAGCAACTTTCATGCTCTGGTCCAGCCCAGCGCCCAATACGGCAATACGTACACTCATTCATTGTCGTCGTGAAATGGCACGTAACGTATTTCAACTCTTCTACGCTTCTTCTATCGTCTCAACTCTCAATTCAACCAAAATATTTTTGTCTAATACTATCTCCCACTAACTCTAAAGTCTAAATGTAAATACTATTCCACCAAATCAAAATTTCCCACCGTTCAAAATACAAAATTAAATTAAACACAAGCCAAGTTAGAAATTAGTATATATAATTTTTTTAAAGTAACTAATTATCATAAAAATTAATAATAGTATGATACATGTTAATTTATAATCAGATGAAGGTACAAAAATTATTTATAATATTAATGCATCCTGATTAAATTCTTAATTTATTTGTTAGAATTTAATTTTTATACATTATGATTATAAAAATTGTCTATCAATTATAAAGTACCCTATATATTACTTTTAATAGACTTAATATTATTTTTGCCTAGGAAATACTATAAGAAAAAAAAAAAGCCAACATACAATATTCAATGGTCTCCCTTGATCCCTAAGACCTATTTTATTATTATAGGCTCTTTTAGTCTGAAAGTCAGGTGATAATAAGACATTTATCATTTCTAACCCGTGATAGTAAGTGATTATTAATCATTAAAAATATTTAAGGAAGAACAATCACATTAATTAGTGTAAAAAAAATACATAAATTGACCAACTTTATTATTAGGTCATATCTATGGTACATAATACAATCCCAAACATTGAGCTTAACTTAAAATTCTATAAGAAAAGATGATCTAACATCACTATAACTAGATCCTTAAGATATATATAGTATATAATATAACTAGTAATCATCATAAATAAGTCAGGGTTCAAGAGAAAAACAATTGCAATCTAATTTAGTGACAATGTAAAAAGAATCTTTATATTGTTAATATCTTTAACAAAATAAAATAACTTAATTAATTAATTACAAGATATCAAGTGTATATGTGGAATTCAATATCTTACAAGATACAATACATTTTGTTCTCTTAAAAATAAAAATGATTTACCC